TAAATTTTGCTTCCAACTGTTCCTTTGTAATAATATAAAGGGAGTAATGTCAAAAAAAGTTTGTTAAATCTCGTATGGTTTAAAAATCTACTTCAGTTAAGTTTAAGAAAACAACATCCTCAAAAATTGAAAAAATAACCACAAGACGTTCAGAAATTTTTCAAACAATCAGACATTACCGATTACAATGAATTTAATTGAAAAAAAAAGGTTAGTTACAGTTTTGCATTCAATTTTGTTAAAGTGATTTGTTAAAAATACAAATTTTTATTAGAAAATCATTTTTCGAATGGTTTGTCGTCTTTAATATTTTTCACCAGTACGCGCACTCAATGCACAGTAATTACTAGACTGCGGATTTTATGCATTTATAGCTCATAGGGCTCTGTGAAATACAATAAAAAACAGAACTTTCTTCAGAGGAAAAATAAATTTCTTAAAATAAGATACTTCAGAGGAAAAATAAATTTCTAGATTTGCTCCTGTCTTAATAAATTACTTTAGAAAATGTTATTTTGCATAAAAGTCCGCAGTCTAGTAATTACTAACGCGGAACCCCATTGTAATTAGCGACCGTTCGCAGCCAATTTAACTGTCTTACAGTTAAAAAGAAAATTAGCAACAAAGTAAACAGTCGGTACTTTTTTTACGGAGCATTGCGTGTATCGTGTAATTGCACGTTACTAAATGAAAGGTTGCCTTCGAGTCATCGACTGACGCTTCCCCGCGTCCTGCTTGCCGACTATTCATGATATTTAAAATTAGCTGCCGGTATCTCTTGACATCGAATCCGGGTACAAGGAAAATTTAGATAGTCGTTAATTCCGCGACAGATTATCTCTCTGGGTGGACGTTAATAACGACGTTTAAGTAATCGAACAATTGAAATCATTATCCACGAACTGGCAGTGTGTAAACACACTACTTGTAAGAATTCAATTTCGCAATGGTACGTTAGTAATTAAGTAACATGTTATCTGTTGAAAACATTTTAACCTTTCGATGAACTAGGGATTCATTGGTTCTGCGTGAAACTATTAAATACTGAATCATGAATTTATAAAATGTTTCTTTTCGTAGTATATTATTCGATATACTAGCTGTATTAATAAAATTCAAATTTTCTTTTGAAATTTGGAAAAATTCTTGAAAATATTTATTCTAGGTGACATGCTTGGAAAAAATTTATTCATACTTCGACTGTGTGTGTCGTTTGTATTGTAGAGGAAAACCAAGTCGGCTGATCCAGGTACAATAGACTCACGTTAAAGTAGCGCACGTTAAGCTATCGGTGGCCTTCTGCAATTATAGTTCTGATCAATTTGGTTGATCGACCGATCTGCCACGAGATCCTGCTTGCCCATTGGCTCACGTTAATGTACCGTTTCCAGGAAAAACCTACCTCGAGGGCCCCAGCAGCGCTACTTTAACGTGAGTCCACTGTATGTACGGACCGTTAAATGAGCCGTTCATTTGCCAAAATAATAAACTCCGGAAAATTTAGATGTTAAATTTTGTTTTAAATATAAAACGTTGAACACCCATTAGCTGTTTTGGCACTAAAATTGGAAGAAATTCAAAATTATGGAGTTAATAATTTTTGACCTGTGATAGTGAATAGCTCAAATATGAGATCAAGAAGTTTGTAACTCGTTGGCAATAGCGTGTCAATTTAAATGTATCTTATTACAATCAAAAGTCGTCTTTTCAAGGTAAGATATAATTATTCGAATTGCGTAGTTCAAAAGAAATATTTATTATGCAATCATCTAATACTTGCTTGTTAAATAGTAATTCTTAAGGTGTTACGTACTTTTGAGCTAGTAAATAAGAGGGGAAATAAAAAAATTTTGTTGTACATGCAGAATTATTGTTTATTAAAAATATCTATTAACAGAAGAAAATGGCTGCCATTTAAAAGCGTTTTACTCGAAAAACAGTTTTAAAATTAGTACCAGAAATATCTAAAAGACTACTGAACCAATTTGGATCAAACTTTGTGGTAATATTCTTAGCACTAAAATATAGTACTTGACGGAGTGAATTTTTGAATGGTGTACTTCTTCTTTTTTTAGTAACAATAGAAATTAAAAATTTCTGTCAGAAACGACAAGTTTAAGTTCAAACAGCCGCCATTTTGTAAAATATTGATTTTTTTTAAATCGGCTTCGATAAGTACTTATTTCTTTTTTCTACTTTAATATAAAATTAAAAAAATTTGTTTCAAATAAAAGCCCACAGGGATATATCTGGTACCGCAGATGCTGTTTTGATAAAACGGGTTATAATAAATGGCAGCCATTTTTATCTTTTGATAAATATATAGTTTAATTCTTCGGAAATTACTAAGGAAATACATATAATAAGATGTATATGTTGAATTTTTTATAATTTTCTATTTTACTTAACAGCTCAAATGTATATAACCTCTTAAATAATAATAATGAAAACATGAAAACTCTTGCGATTCGCTTCTAACATTAGAAAACGGAACACGAAGATTTAGGTATTCCGTCTGCAGTATATTAAGAAGCATAAAACAAAAGGCCAATAAAGTTATAGGCATAAAAGGAAAGTAATGTTCATAATGAAAATTCCCCAAGAAAAATATCCAATAGGAAAGCTCTTATGGTTAACAGACAAAATACAGGGTGTCTCAGGTCGGGTAGTATAAGATAAAATAAGGCGGAAAAGAACAATAAATTCTTGTCATACCAGGCTTCTTTTTCGAAAAACACCATTTGGAAATTCCATCGAATACGCCTGCATTCGCAGTGGCAATAAGTAGAAACGGAATGTGATGAACAGACACGTTAGCAGGTCTTATTCAATTACACACGTGTCCAGTAGATTTTCAAAGTCGATTATCTCGGAAACAAAGCATCACAGGAAAAAAATTTTATTCCATATTTTCAATTTGTCTTTGCATGTAGAATAACCTCCTTCCCGGTTGTACTACCTGACCTCAAACACCCTGTGTGTGGTGACGTAACTATTATTATTTGTAATTGGTTCCGAAAGCCGCGATGTTTGAAACGTTTCTGCGAACATTATCATTGTGCTCATTACAATGTTCCTAAAGTTATACAAATTACTCGTTCCATATTAAAATGATCAATTTAATTCATCTGCTCTGCATACACTGTGTGATATAACTATACAACTACCCTGAAAGTTTAAATCCTTATATGTTGTGGTTAAAATAAAAACAAACTACTTTTTTTGTAAGGAATATAATCTATTTTTTTCTGGAGAAACATTATTTTTCAACACGATTTCAGACATGGCATACTTGGTTCGTTTTTATTTCAACCACAATATATAAGAATTGAATATTTTGTGGTGGTTTTATAGTTATGCCATGCAGTGTATATTATGCAATATAAATTTAATAAAGTTGACTGTTATGTGTCGCAAAAATAATTGTTTTTCACTCACGCGTGTAAATAACGTCGGCTGATAATGTAATATCTTCCGGTACGATTCAATTTAGTATCGTCTGGTGATTCAGCAAATGTGCGCACGGGATATAAATAATAAAAATCTGCGAAACTGTAGGAGGCAATTTCATAAGTATATACATATAAGTAAATACCAATGGATTGGGAATGAAATGCTCGTCAATTTCTATCATTATGTAAACTCGTAGTTATTCTCTATTCAAATCTATTCCTATACTTCTCTAGATATTTCGTACTCAAGTTCATATTGTTATAGGTCAGTAAGGTGGTCTTGACCTCAACTATTACGTCATTATAATAAAAATATGTGGTCCCATTTATAAAGACATCCATGACCTTGAAATTTCCAAAAATATAACTTTGAAAAATTTGGTTTGCTAATTACAATATTCGGCCCTACCAATCAAATAATATGTTCCTCTCACATTTTTTTCTATCATGAAAAAAAGTGAGATATTTAAGGTGCTCACGTTAGGTGGGACACTGTGTATGGGTCCTATCCTGACAAGGTTCAGTCACCATTGACAAAGAACACAGAAAATTCGTGGTGGCTTATTTCCATCATGAAATGCAGTATATTTAGAGCAGAGTTGGGCAGAATTTTATTCGAATAATACACAGTGAAAAGCAGCAGTATCTAAAGGTGACATTCTGAGCTTTAAACAGTTAATGAGATTAAATAATTGTTTGACAAATGTCGATTCATTCATAAAGAAGTATTATTTTATTATAAAAATTGAATTTTCCACGTATAAACAATAAAAAATAACGAAATACTTTTTTTTCTCTTTTATTCGTTATTCGAAACTGTTTATCTAGATAATGAGTTTGCCCATCTCTGAATTAGAGGCAACTTGTAACGATGCATAGTACTTTGGTATGTCTGTCGTCAAAAAAAAATCCATCTCAAGAGTGTCAGAGAAAGTCCGATCGTTTCCTATTTTCGTCCAGCGAGATTCGCATAAATGGACCACCCTGGTGACGTACTGCTCCCCAGACTACACTTCAGCGGTCATTGTTTTTTTCTCGCGAAGGGCCCCGGCACGCGTTGCGGCGTCGTTAAAGAAATTATGACAATTGAGTAAGCATCCTATAACGGGGACCCGATGACATTTAGCGCAATGTGACATGCTGATCCCCGGGAAGGTAGTCTCTCTCTGGGTGATGTACAGTGTGTTGTTGTCCCCGTACGTTTTCACCAACACATACAGGCATACATATGTATATAGGCACCGTGTGCACGGATCCTACCGTGTTAAATGAGGATCCGTGTAACCCCTCTTTAAGCTCCCTCCGCCTCTCTACGTATGTGTCACTGTACCGTACCATTGTCCCTCTCTGTCCCACGGCCTTTCAAACGCCACTATTTCTCTCTTCATCTCACGGTTCTCTCCCCCCGGGGCCCGCTCTGGTCTCTCTGGTGTCCCATACGCGAGTCCCTCTTAGGTGGCTATCGGTTACTTAGGCAAACGATCGTATTGGTGATGCCTCCAGGGGTATATATACGACGAGCGCTGCGGGGCTTGATAAACACTTGCCCATCAGCGATTACTGCTGCAGCATGTACACGTCACTGGTAAGCGCAATTAAAACGAGCGAGACGCGATTTTGTAGAAAAAAAAAAGAAACAAAAAAAAAAAAAGGAACGGAAAAGTACCGAACGGGGTGAAAGACTCGTGGGGTTACGGAAGTCTGGAACGTTAACTGGGAACCGTCTTCAGTGAGCTACCGCGATTTGGAGGATCGTCTAAGTGCCGGGAATATCCGCGACCATAATACCTACACATACACGGTTTCTGTGCGTGATTTGTATCGGGGGAATCGTGTGACAACGCCGTTTTACCTGTGACTTTTTTCTCTTCCGTATATATTTTATTATTATTTTTTTCTTCTCTTTCGTCTGTTCGGTACGTACGGTTCGACGATCTCCGGGGTGGTTGATCGAGAGGAATCGCGTCGAGGTAAGTAGGGTGAATACGACACGATGGAGGGAGGTTCCCGCAGACCTTGAGGGGTACCGTGGGGTGTCTCGATAATGGGAGCAAGGTGTATCTGTGGAAACAGTCCACCTGAAAATATTTCTATAACGTGTATGGTATTACTGCATTCCATATATTTCGACGATTATTAGAGTTCGATGGTGTTAGCCACGGCTTAATTGGCTCTGTTTGCTAAATATCCGTTACGTTTCGTATAATTACCGCGAATAAAGGTAACGATTGACCGTACATCTGTTGTATTCCATGGATATTCGTGGAACGTTTAAAATTTATTTATAAGAGTCTATTAATTAGTGGAATTTGTCGAACATGAAATTTCGGAAATTTCTGCTTCAATGTCCGTTTTTGCCATAGTGATTAATTCCACAGACCTTGCATTATTGAAATATTTTAAATATAAAAAGTTATGCACCAATCAACTGCTTTGGCACAGAAATTTAATGAAATTTGAAAAAATGGAGTTACTCGATTTGACCTGTGAATGGAAATATGAGATCAAGATTCAAAATGTATCTTATTGCAATCAAAAGTCTGCTTTTCAAGATATACCATAATTGTTTGAATTTGATACTTCAAAAGAGATATTTATTATGCAAGAATCTAATACGTGCCTTTTAAATAGTTGTTCTTAAACGATTATAATGAAAACATGAAAATTCTTGCGATTCGTTTCTAGTATTAGAATACAGAACACGAAGATTCTGATATTCCAACTGCAGTATATTAAAAGGCATAAAAAAAAATTGTAAACTAACCGGTGAATGATCGAACTATTGAATTTATGTACGTTTCAAATTAATACTTGAATATGTTTATTTAGAACAACAAAACAGCTGTTGAAATTGCAATAACATTTATTCTTCTTGAAAATTCTATAAAAATAATTACTTATTTTTATCATAATTTGTAAAAAATTATTTACCAAGTGTAAATTGTGTAAAAGCCATACATGTCTGAAATATTTATAATAAGAATTGTATAAAATTCTAATTATAATTAAAAGTGTAACCTCTATTTACAAACATCTAATCCTTTTAATTTTATACCTAATTTACATTTCTGTGCCTAATTGCCATTCACATTTATGCATTCAATTACTGCTTGGTTTACTATAAAAAGAATTAAAGACATAAAAGAGTAATGTACATGATGAAAATTCAACAAAAAATATTCAAATTTCCGTTTGTTGATTTCCATGGATATCCGTAGATCGTTTAAAATGTCGATGCTCGCAATCGTTATTTACGACGTTTATTAATTAGAGGAACTTGTCGATCGTGGGATCGAACGTGAAATTTTTGATCCAATGTCCGTTTCGGTCAGACTGGATCCATTACGTCTGACCTAATATCAGTCGCGCTACCAGTCGACATGGCCGACTCTGAAACGATATCGGCTACTGGCGGCGAGTTCCCGCGTCCGTTTTCGGCGAGAAGGACGAGCACGGAACGAGCCTTCGCGATCGATTCCTGTAATTGATGCGTGGTCTGACGAGCCGTGTAAATCGCACCCTGCAGACGCCCGTGATTACGCTGGGAATCGATCTTCCGCGACGTAATTTATAGACAAGGTTCAAACACAATAACGTAAACAACGAACGAAGAAGCGAGAGCCAGAGGCGAGAAACGCTCGTGGTCGGTTTAATTCGCGATTACGTATTCACGTGGAAATTCCATGTGTGTTTATTTAGGATGCGGCTTAGATCTAAAGACGAACGTGTTTAAAAGATCCTTAGCTAGAGATAAACCGATACCGCCACGGTATCGATACTTTTACTCATAACTTGTATCGAAAAAAGTATCGATATCTATTTACAATTAGAAAAGAAGGCGCGGAGGTGTCCCCCTCTGATTTTGATAAAACTTTGTGTGTCTGTTAAGCAGTCAAAAATAAGGGATACGTATTTTTTTTATCGGCTGAGACGCGACTTTAAAGGGTGAAACCACCCCTTGAAGTTTCGAGCTGGACGTACTATCTCGAAAACCAGAGGAGATACATGAAAACATCTAATGGATGAGGTTTGCGGTTTTTTATGTAGAATAATATGGTGCTAACAAATTGTCCAAAATATAATTTGTTTATAGCAAGAAAATTTCGGATTGAAGCTTCGAGAGGTGGTTTCACCCCATAAAGTCGCGTATCAGTCGATAAAAAAAAAATACGTATTCCTTATTTTTGACTGCTTAACAAACATACGAAGTTTCATCAAAATTGGAGGGGGACACTTCCGTGCCTTCCCTTGTTAATATCGAAAAAAAGTATCGATATCTACTTGTATCAAAGGAAAATGAATACAAAATTCTGTTCTACTAATATGGTATATTTTAACCATAGTTGAACAGAATTTTATTCGAATAATGCACAGTGAAAAGTTGCAGTTAGGGATACACCGATACCGTCAAAGTATCGATACTTTAATCATATCTTGTATCGAAAAAAGAAAATGAATACAAAGTTCTTTTTTGTTAATATAGTATATTTTAACCAGAGTTGAGTAGAATTTTATTCGAATAATGCATAGTAAAAAACTGCAGAATCTAAATGCGTCATCCTGAACTTTAAACAGTTAATGAGATTAAATAATTGTTTGCCAAATGTCGACTTATTCAGGAAGAAGTATTATTTTGTTATAGAAATCGGAATTTCCAGGTTTAAATGATTTAAAATGACGAAGTATTTGTTTTATCCTTTATTCGTTGTTCGAAACTCTTTATCCAGATTATGATTTTTCCCATATCGGAGTTTAACGAAGATATATTTTATTAATAAATATCTATTAACGGAGACGTATTTTACTAATGGTCCACCTTTATATTCATTAGCTTTCATATCGATTAGTCGCTCCATTTGATATGAGTAATTTTTTTCCATATATATATACATCAACCGATAGTATCGATACTAAAAATACTCGGTATCGAAACGAAAGTGTAGATTATTTACTTGTACTTACTTGTATTTACTTAGATCGGGTCATTCTTATCCTTAGCGTTGGTAATAGTATATTTAAGTAGGACAACGACGAGGCAGAAAAAGGATACGCGGATTGTCTGTAAAAATAAGTGGAATTAAATTGAAATCGTAGAAATTGTCTTGTTAAAATGTAACTGTTTTAAATAAAATCACTTTATTCGAACCCGTGAAATTTTGAATAGGTTCACTGATTTTACAAACTCATGAATAATTCGTGTTCGCAGGGTAAACACGCCAATGAATGAACACTTAAGAGATTTTGTAACTATTAAAACCAATTTGTTACTATCTATACTTTTGTTTTAAATATATATATTTCTACATTATGAAACATTCGAATAATGCAATTAATTGAATTAAACAGAAAAATTCAGATATCACGAGTAAGTGAACATAATTAAATTAGTAAATGTACATTTTTAATCGATGCTGCAAAAATTATTTCAATATGAAAGGAATTGAAAAAATCAATACTGAATCATTTGCTTAATTTAATAACTTAATTCACTCGTTTTTGTACATAATGTTGGAATGTGTTGGATCGTATAATTTTGATCTGTTTTTATAGAATTGTTATAATCATTCGTGCTAAATTGTTTGTTAAAACAATATCGTTCACTATAATGGTGTCCTTTTATTACATCGAATAAATAAGCAGTAATTTCTAGTTTTGCAAAAAATTCAAATCTTCTATGGATACATAACAGACAAAATTACGTATTCGGTACACAAATACACAATTCTTGATCTTTTTCAAGTTTTTAAAAGAATAAGGAATAAGGGATGCATAATCTTCTGATAACATCTGTCATTAATTACTATATCCCGTCATTTTTATCGTGCAAGGGGGCGGAAAAATGTATCAAATTTAAACGGTATTGTTTGACACTTAAGTAAATAGTGGATTATTGTTTATATTACCACGATTGGACTTACAACACTTGATTCACCTGCTTCAATGTGATATCTAGAACATGTATTCGCCCTACTTATCCTGAGTAAATATACGCTATGATTTCATCTCTGAAAAAGAGTTACTTAAGAAATAGTCTTCCTTCGTCTTGTCGATATGTTCGTTCAGTTTTCCTACATAAGAACAGAATACTCAATTCAGTTTCTCTTCAGGTTCAAAGATCAAGGTATTCAAGATCATTGATGCACAAAAACCACTGCATCCGTTGCAGTTTCGAAGCACAATGGTCAGCGAAACCGCGCTTAACCTATTTGCATCCAGCAGCTAAACGTAGTTGACACTGTCTTAAACGTGACGATCGAGACAAATTACTGGAATTTCGCTAAGTGAACGATTTATTTTAATAATTAACTATTAATTAAAATATTTAGTTCAATACAATCTTCAGTTTAAACAAACCATTTGTGATTACTTTACAAAGTACACCCTCACACTGATACACGACATGATTCTAATTACTTTCTAAAGTACATCCTCCAATCAGCGATATATGCAGTTGTTGAATAGCTACTGAACTTTATCTGTCCCAGATATTCCGAACCGTGCTTTAAGTTTCAAGTCAAAGCAAATCTAACTGAACATTACAATGATTATCGCCGAATATTAATATCCTTGCAATATTATTATTATTCTTAGATTACAGATTATTCGGTTCGTTGGAAAACTTCTGCCGTTTCCTGTGCTTTTTATTTAACTTAATTCGTGATATATTTGTCGTCGTTATCTATGACCCTTTTCACGTTTCTAATAATTTACGAACTACTTTTGCATACAAGTTTTTATCTTAATATTAACGTGCCTCGAAAAAAAAGACAGATCTGTTAAATAGACCTAATGTCATTCTTTCTGAGATATTTAAAACCCTATAACGGAAATCAATTCCGTACATACTATACTCAATTATATTACCTAATCGTCGTTAATAACCACAAATACAGTATTAGCACTATAAATTATTTTCTGGAGAACCATAAAGCGTTACAAGAATTAATGCATTCGCTAACAGTGAATCATAAAAGTTGTGAAAAAGACGCGATCTCTATGAATCAACATTTTCTCCAGTCGAAACAAGTATCTTAATACTTATAGGCGAGAATGAATATGTTCTTGACGCAACATTAAATGCTTAAAAGAACAAGACTTTCCAGTTTAGGTATTATTACAGTAAATTCTTAACGTATTAACGCTTGCAAAGAGCTGCACGTTAAAAACTTTTGCGTTGCCACTACTACTAGGCAAGGTCTTCCTTAGAACCAGAAAATTGGGGACTAAGGAATAATTCAAAGCTCGTGTATCGATGAAACCACACTAATGTAGCAATAAAACTTCTTTATTCTTGCTTATTCTTTTATGAAAATTTCAGAAGAATATTTGTAAGATACTTCTAATTAAAATGATTCCAAACACGGTACAATCTGGATCATGTGTAATATATCAGAAGCAATAATGAGAGAAAAGGAGTTAATCTGAGATAAGTAAATATAATTCAAAAAAATATAATTCAAATATATTTTTCATTAACACATTGGTATCCGTTCTAACATATCTACGTCACGGGCAGAAATTATAGCCAAAGAGGCCAAAAATCGAGCGTCAACGTATTTTAAATTATAAGGGGCAGGAGACGGGTGGGATTTTTAAAAATACTTCTATGCGGTCCTGAGTTTCGACCACTTATCAAGAATCTACTGTACCTCCAAAGTCTCTATACTGCAATAGTGCTAACTAAACACTGCTCCCTTCATATCCCTCTCCAAAGTCTCTATACTGTAATAGTACTAACTAAACCCTTGATTCCACCATTTCTTATCTCAGAAGTTTGTATACTAAAACAGTACTAACTGAATCCTTGATTCCACCACATTCTACCTCCAAAGTCTGCATACTGAAACATTGCCAACTGAATACTTGCTCTCTCTACTTTCTACCTCAAAAATTTGTATACTGAAATAGTCCTAATTGAACACTAGCTTCCTCCACTTCATACCTCCACGGTCTCTATACAGAAATAGTCCTAACTGAACACTAGCTTCCTCCACTTCGTGACTCCAAAGTCTGACGCAGTACAAATATAGCACTGAAAGATTACACCTTCCAGGTGCAAACGGGGTGAAATCTGAAGCGTACGTGTGTGATCAGTAGACTGCGGATTTTTATGCAAAATGACACTTTTTAAACTAATTCTTGCAAACGACAATATATTATTGGGTTCAGAATAAAGTACAAAACACATTGCATCTGACGAAAGTTTTTTCTCTATTGTATTACACAAAACCTTATTGGGTATAAATGCATAAAATCCGCAGTCTAGTGATCATGGTTGGAATAGCAAAAACGTCTGATCTCCTTCGTAATCCGCAGGTAGCCGTGATCGCGTTGGCTAGCTGCGTGGCTGCCGCCCCAGCGGAGGATGTGGTACCCATCGTTAGCCAAAGCCAAGAGGGTCCAAACCCGGACGGTTCGTACAAATGGAGCTACGAGGCCGGGAACGGGATCAAGGCGCAAGAGGAAGGCAAAGTGGAGAACGCAGGCTCGGAGAACGAGGCGATGAACGCGCAGGGAAGCTTTAGCTACCCGAGCGACGACGGACAACAGATTTCACTCACGTACGTCGCGAATGCTGACGGTTTCCAGCCCCAGGGTGCCCATTTACCGACCACGCCAGAGATCCCACCGTTGATCAAGAAGGCGCTCGAATGGATAGCGGCGAATCCATCCAAGGAGGATCAGAATCAGGTGTAAACGACAGGACGGCCAGTCGTCAGTGATCTCACCGAATCTTTCTTTTCGTAACTCTGTTCTGCCCACGAATCACGATGAGTCTGCTCCGTCGTCGCTTCTCGTCGTGTCCCTCCCTTCGACCGGCTCTAACGATACCACGTGCACACTCTGGTTCAATCTGTTGTAAATATTTATTGTATACTTACGGAGATATATATGTATACGTTTCTATATATATATATATATGTTGTATCAATGTATCGTATATTATTTTATGTGTATTATGTATTAAGTCGCCCATGCAGACGCGAGCATGTACCTACTCTGCGGGCAACGACGTTATAGGTAATCGTTGTTGAATATATGTCACCGGTGCATACGCAATAAACGTTGCAATTCAAGAGAGAGAGAAAGAGGTATCGATTTTTTACTCCTACCTGACCGTACTAGTATTTTCGGGATATACAGGGTGTCATGTTACTGGTGGTACAACCGGATAGGTGGTGATTCTACGTGAAAAATAAGTCGAACAGATAGAATAACATTTTTTCTGTTGTGACTTCGTTCTCGAGCATGAGACTTTGAAAATTAATCTGAAACGCTGGTATTCGCCATTGTTAGTACAAATGGAATGAAATGAACAGACACGCTATCCAAGTCCTATTTAATTCCACGCGTATCCTGATGATTCACAAAGTCGATTTTCTCGAAAACGAAGTCTCAAATAGGAAAATGTTATTCTTTTTCATTTTTATTTAATTTTTTCAGTTTTTATGTATATTGAATGCGGAGTATGGGTTTCCATTTACGGTGACTGACCTTGGAAATTACGAGATTATTTATGAAGAATTTTGGTGTTTGCAATTGATACTGTTACGATTTGAGTTTGGATTACAGGTCAATGTGCGAGGAACAAATCATACACAAATCTAGCAAAGTTCCAAACATTCAATAAATCATAACATTTGATAATCCCAGCTCGTTTTCGAACAATCGTACTGAAGATTTCGGTTGAATTTTTAGTGCTTCACGCACTTTTGCGATGTCTTCTTCAAAGATTCCTATTTTCGGACGACCTGTTCGATTATTGTTGTCAATGTCTTCTCGACGCCTTACCAACACTTACACTTAATACTTTTTTTAGATTTAGAAACCTAATTGTTATTTCAAAAGAGTCTGTGAACGAATGTAGGATTCACTATATCTATAATTTGTAGAGTAAAGACCATTACCTATTGTTTACAAGTGCAGTAAATACAGATAATTCTGTGGAGAAAACACACTTCGTCAGTAAAAAGTTATAACCTTATTAGGTGTTTTTCACAGTAACAAAAGTTGAGTTAGGTTTAACCTAATTAAAAAGCATTACCAATTATAAGATTGACAAGTAATAGAACCATATATCTATAATTTCTGAAGTAAATACAGTTATTTGTTTCTTTAAAAATCTACCTCATGGTAATCAATGTTAACTCGACAAGAAGTTCTAAATAATGCCAGAAGTTAAATTAGTATGAAAGTCAATCGTAAATTCAATTTGGTGACGCGTACCGTGAATGTACGAAGTTAAAGTTATACGCTTTGAATATGTACATCTAGAATTGGAGCAGTAACGAGAAAATTTTTCAAATAAAAATTACTTAGTTCTCACGATATTTTCTCTTGCTTCAATAGTTCCACAAACGTTTAAAGTTTTTATTCGCCCATCCTATATAATATTAGCATCGAAAGACGCTTGTTTCCTTATTGCGTTCCTTAACTTCTTCAAGCGCAAATTTTTAACTGCAGAAAAACATTCGTTTTACGTAGTTAACTGTAATACTTACCGTTCCACAATAACAACCTTGCACAGTAAGATATATTTAATATATGAACTTTTAACAACTCCACGACATTTCTGTTGAATTGCTTTTAAAAATCGAGAAAATATTTCCCAACGGAAATCTTATAAACGCTTATAATTTACAATTTTATTCGTTTCTTAACTATATGCTTTTTTTCATATATTTAAATAACACGTTTAACATCGACGTTTCTTTACCCTCGATTTTTGGTTTCAAATTTGAAAACGAATTCTAAAGTCAATGTAGATTTAAAAGTTTATTTTAATTTAATTCAATCTAGTCACCCCTGCATATTATAGTATTGGTCAACCTCGATCGTAAATCAAACGACAGCACGACGCAACAGTTTGCTCCCCGATTGAGAAAACAAACTGGTCGAACTGTTAACGTAATGTTTAGCTGCCGTAACTTTATATCAAGACGGTATTTATTCTTTGCCATGAAATTCCTCCAGGTCTGAACTGAACGACCGTCCAGATCAAATACAAACGCGGATTGGGTTAAGGCTAGTTTACAAACACGTTAGCAAAAGGTAGGTCAGGATACGTCAGTTACGGGCACGGCTTACGTCTACAAAGTTTCAGTGTAAACGAACGCGCGCCAACTTCGATCGCTATTTTGGCCCGTCAACGATCTTCATTATTATTCACGATTCCTTTATGATTCTACTGTATAATGCAGCATATTAATTTGTCCGTTAAATATGACAAATTAACGCTAAAATTACCAGCGTTGAATGTATGCGAAACTAAAGTGTATAAAACGTAGATACAGTAATGTCAATTCATGGCTAGGCGGAAAAGTTTTTAACCCCTCATGAATTTGTTTTTTCCCCGAAGCCGAGCTTCTGCTTAGCTTCTGTTTACTGTGTTTTGATTCGTTCCACAGGGGGACATTCATCGAATGTCTAATATATAGGGTGTAGTACAGACCTGAATAAATTTTATTTGAAATGAAAATAAGAAATAATTATTTGAAATAATTTATTTCGGAACTTTATTTTCGATACTGTTATTTAAAGATAAAAATATTGTTGCGTGGGCGCGGCATGACTCTATTAAATAAAGACAATGTTTATAAAAAGGAAGAATTATTTATTTGAAGAAGAGGAGTACTTATCTTGACACATCTTTTCTGTTCTACGGTCGTACCACAACTCTAAGTTGTCCCTGTTTTGGACATCGTTACCAAAACGACGCCGCTGATCTGAAATCTCTCGCTTTAACATTATAATATTATTGATTCATTTGAAATAATAGCAAATTCAAATATTGAATGATTTTCAAATTTGGTAAAAGACGTAATACACAAAATAATATGCAACAAAAAGATTTGATTTTAAGGAATCTTTAAAGCTCATCCCTGAGAGATTTTTGCTTGGGTCGAACTAATATTGTAATGGAAGAAAATAATCGTTCCACTGGTGTGGAAGATGGGAGAGGGATGTTGCTCTTTAAAAAAAGGTCAATGAATCAAACTCAGATCTAGTCACCTGATACAATCTCGAAGAACAATTTCACAATTATTTCTTAGAATTACTTCAAATGATTAGAAAATATAATAACATGTTGTTTGACATAATATTTCAAATAATATTTCAAATAATGTTATTTTCCACGTGATTACAGACATGGAAATAATTAGAAAATAAAATAACATGTTATTTAAAATAATAGTTAAAATAATATCATTTGAGAAATGCCCAGGTGTGATGTAGTACATAAAGGGTTACAAGCTGTTTCCTTCGATATCACTGCAGATATCGACGTGAATTTTTTCTTATATTGAATGGTTCAGTAGGATTCGTCATTTAAGGTGTAAAATATTTGGACGGTGGGAGTATCCTAGGTGGGGAAGGGGACAACATTCATGGAGTTATTGCTTTTAAAGTGCTTTGTATTCTTCTCTTTATTTCTCCTTTCGATGTAGGTACTACTATGATTATTTGGTTATAGTTAATAGTTGTAGCACTTATAGCGAATTAAGTAGTTATAGAAGAATACTCTTCTAAAGAGGAACTTCAGGAGGCGTCGAAAGATATTAAGAAGAATGTGTACGGTTCAAATTCGTTTAAATAAATGTTCAAAATGATGTCCATTTCCAAACATTTATTTATTCGTTTTACGATATTATTCCGGATATCTGACATCATTTTTGGAGTCTGCAATTATTACTTGGTGCTGTACATAACCCCACAGAAAGATTTTATGCAACAAAATTTTATTTACAATTTTATGTCAAGCACGATGTAACGATTAAAAAATGTTGTGGGACTATGGAAAGCAATAAAAGCAATAATAAGACATGTAGAAAACAATACAAAACGCTTGAACATCGATAATTCTAGGTATCTTGACAGATGACTGCAATAAATGATTGATTGAAGAAACCTATGCTAGAGGTGACGAATCTTCAGACACATATAAAAGATGGTTCCAAATATTCCAGAATAGCGATTTTGCCTTGAGAGACAAACAATGCAGGTTAGACTACCAGCAGAAATGGAAACTGATGATTTTTAAGGGTTGATAAAGAAAGACCCAGATCAATTCACTAGTGAACTTGCAAAACAACTACCGGTAATAAAATTGAAATTAAAGAAAAATTGTAACGGTATTATTTTAGTAAATATTTTAAGGTAATCCGTAGAACTTAATTAACGACCCAATATTTATTTACAATAGTTCAAGTGACGAACAACCGTTTCTTCTTTTCATTTGAATTTCTATACAGAAAGCCACTTCTTACTCAAGCAATTGTTTAAGTAAAGATTAATTTACATAATACCTACCCCAACACTCTGGTACGTACAATGTGGAATGCAAGAACGGCTCAGGCATTCGCCAGTCAGTTCCAGCACACGAAGAGATCAATCGGCCGAAATAGAATAATGTATCGCCGATTTTCCAACTCCCACGCCGCTCCTATCGACAAACCGAAGGAACGTAATTTCACGGAGCGACCTGATCTGTTCTCGGTTCTGTGAAGTTCTTGCTGATTTACGATAGAAAGTTCCAACGCGAGGCAGTGCCAGGCGTTTTGAGCACGTGCCCGCTGTAGATCTGCCGTGCCATCGTTAATCAATCACGATACTGTGACCATACAGCTATGCCCCGGCGTAATTTATTCAGAGGTACGCCGTCACGTGGACAATGTAAACTTAGCTAACTTCGGCAGCCCTATGTCGCCGCCGGAACAACGAGATCTGCTTCGTTTAAATTAAAGCCGCCAGGTTAAGAACCGCTAATTAACTAAACAAGTAAGAACCACTGAATAACTAACTAATTAGATGAGAAACACTAATTAACTAGCTAGACAAAAAACTGTAGGGATAGATTTTATATTAGACGCGATATTTAAAAAGAACTGCGTATCTGTTCACAATAATCAAAACTAACAATATACAGGGTGTTCGCGATAATTTGTACCATCGTTTTTTTCGTAAACAATAAACATTAGAAAAAAATCGAAGTGGAGGAAGTTGTAGTATATTTTACTAGTAATATGATAGCGTATCTAAAGTTTTTGGTTTTTTAAATATTTTTCTAGAAACATAGGT